TTGGATTTATAAGTTGAGGACATTGTTCCCCTTAGGTTTAAATACAGAATGTAGTTTACAAGTATTTTGGGGTTAAAGAATGCTTAAAAATGCAAAAAAATGCCCCAGGTTTTGTGAGAATGATTGAGGGTAAGTGAAAGGTGTGTACATAGTTTTGTAGTAAAGGAACACTCACAGAAATAAGAATTAAGAGAACTCCAAATATTGTACGGTTACACATTTACCATCAAAGTATTAATAAAAGGAGGTGGAGGGAAGAGGACTATTTAAAGTTGCTACCCACTCCTAATGCTTTACGCCCTGACGAAGCTCGGGGGAGTGGCTGAGCAAAATGCGTAAACGTAGCCTGTAACGTCATCCAGTCTCTCCCCTTCCACTGTGATACTTGAGGACGATTTATGTTTGAAATGGAGGTCCACCGAAATGTAAACACTTCAGCACGGCGGATCTGCACAATATGATCGAGAGGAAGACAACTTTAAAGATTGAGCCTGTTATGGTCGATTCGTGAGTACAATATTACCCCTGTTGAATACTGGCAGCTTTTCAGAGCACAGAGGGAAAGCAGCATTTAATCTGCCAATAGGCAATGGGTTTAATTAATGATCCTTCTGTGTTTTGGATTCTGCTGGACCTGTGAGTACAACAATTTTCCTGTTAAACACTGACAGCCTTGGAGAACACAGTGGAAAGGCAGTGGTTAATCTGCTGACAGATTGGTGATTTAAGGAATGGTGCAGCGTACAGGTTGAAACTTCAGAGACTGAGTTGTTTTGGCGGATCTTCAAGTATAATTTTTCCCCTGTAAGGCTCTGTTCACACCTAGGTGTTTTGTTGCAAGCTGGAAAAGGTACAGGAGCTTCTCTTGGGCAGAATACAGCACGTTTGGCTGCATTAGAATTCAATGGAAGTGCATGCAAACGCGCGACACAAATGGTTTGCACATTTCTGTGTGCACTTTGTACGCACATTTCCTCATTCACACCTTCACAGCAATGCATTTCAATCTGCTCATTTCAATCTGCTAATTAAAACGCACGCCTTTGTTTATGTGCGCCTAACACAGGTAAAAATGTGCTAAATGCACAGACGCACAAACCGCAAAGGTAAAGATGTGCGTAAAACACGCAGACACACGAACGCCTATGTGTGAATGGAGATTAAGACATTGACAGACCAGCAGAGCACAGCGGGAAGGCAGCGGTAATTTACATAGTGTAACAAAGTGTCAAATTCAAGTGGACTTTGCAAAAAACAGTCCCAGTGTTTACAATCCTGCAGTGCTGTGAGATATGAGCTGACCTAATGAGAAGCTGAAGTTCTTCTGGATTCTAAGTGAAAAACAGTAATGAAAACTGATAAAAAGCTGTCGGGGGTGTGTGTGAGAAGCATGACTGTGAAGGTATATCTGTGATGACAACGTTGTCATATGTATTTAAGAGGGAAAAAGGAGCGGTGTTTTTTTTTATAGATTTTGAAGTAAGATAAATAAAGTTTGACCTCTTTTATACATTTTGGAAGATCGATTCCACTAGTCCTTTTGTTTATAACTGATTTTCTAACGTATTTTCTTTTCTTTAGAGAGGGAAATACACAGTAGTTTATATTGAACACTTAACCGAAACCCTGAAGTGATCCTAACACTAATCTAACCCCTATACAAAGCCCTAATACTAACCCCTAGGCCAGAGGCTTCTGGTGCAATAACAAGTAATCCCATATGGCAATTATAAAGTCAGATTTAAGTACGATAATTGGCAAACATTTTAGATTATGATTTGTATATTTCTATATTTATGTTACCACCTAAAATTGGTGGAGAAAAGATTTAACCACAAAGGGCATAGGGGCTTCTTTTCAGTTAGAGCAGTTAAATATTGGAACTCTCTGCCACAAGCAGTGGTATCTGCAAAGTATATAGATTCATTCAAAAATAAATTAGATACCATCCTGAGAGACCGCAATATACAAGGCTACAGGTACTCTTAAATACTAGACCTCACAGGGACTCGTACACACGCACGCACAACTCACACACAGACACACAAAAGTTGAACTTGATGGACCTGTGTCTTTTTTCAACCTCAAATACTATGTAACTATGTATATTTATGTTGAGAAAGCTATAACAGTATTGTTATTTCTTAACCCATCACTCTTTCCTCTCAAAATGTTATATTTCAACAGAGATCGAATGAGGACTTCAATCAATGTAGTCGGTGACTCATTCGGAGCTGGCATCATCTACCATCTTTCCAAAGCTGAGCTAGCTGCCATTGATGCCAAACATGATACAAAGGATGGGACAGATATGATGAAATTGCACACAATGAATCATGAGGGTGCAAATAAACCAACCAGGGAGGGCATTGGCACTCCACCATTCTCTGGTTATGCTTCCTTGCCTACTGATGAGTATAAGGTTCAGGTAGAGCCATCTCTGCACCTTTAATTTTTACCGTGTGCTGCATATGCTGTTCCTTCAGCTACATTGTTATTGCAGCAGTAAATTGATCTTTGAGTGCCAGTCTCAGGTTACCCAGTTTTCCTTACGAACATTAGCACTAATCAGGCAGGGCATTGGTGCAATGTCTACTGGTTAGCTGATGCATTTTGCTGTCCCCTCTATTTTACTCCTATTGGAATACCAGTCTACTTTTTGGATGTCCAACTTTACCAATACTTTATTTACTATATACTTTTTACCAAGTATATATATTTCAGTTCTCTTCCTGCTACAGAGGGAACAAAACAGGCCAGTTGCACCAAAATCCTGGAAACACACAGCCAAAGGTTTTAAAAGTGTATTTCCACTTTTGCAGTCAAATTTGAGAAAACCTATTTATGTTTGTTATGTGTCCCCATTCAAACAGCATAAGGAAAAATATATATTTTATAAAAATGTCTTACCTTTTTAGATGTTTTGAGGGTTGTAATCCTTTAACCCTTTATTAGGACAGGCAGTGTTCAAATCTACAGGTGAAACTCGAATAATTAGAATATCGTGCAAAAGTAATTGCAGTAAGTGCTGCAAAAAATCCTAATGAAATAAGCCAGCACAGTACAGATAGGGTCAACAAGGGGTGTTGACCCTATCATTATTTCACCCCTCACAACCCCTCTTAACATTACAAAGAAGAAGCAAGTAGAAATGTTAACCCTTAACCTCACACTCGGGAATACCACCAAGAAGGTTAAGAAGCTAAATAGAAACCCTAACCCAAGTGAAAGCAATTTAAACTGCAAGAAGCAATTTTTAAATATTTTTAGGCTTATGTTATTTGAATTAGAACATGTAACAAATATAAAGTTTGGCTGCAAAAGTGGAAACACACTTTAAGCTATGGGTTGTTGTCATAGAATTCAAAAATCAAGGAAAACAGTGGGTACATCCAAGTAGATGACATTTCCAATTTTATAGTTTTACATTGGGAGGTTCTACAACACAGTTTTAAATGGGGATGTCCTTTCTGTATCTATGACAATTGCACAGGGACTGTGCTGCAATATATGACATGCTGCCCTACTTCTGTCTGTGTCAATACTGTGGGCACAGTTATTTGATTGTGCCCACATTATTGACACAGAGGTAGGGCAGCATATATGGGGCAAATAATTTGATAATCCACCGTTACATTTTAATAATTTCGTACGTTGTACGGTAGCTTTAGTTTAAACAATCCAAGGCACTTACCCCTTCTATGGGTGCCAGTTTACTTTGCAGGTCTTCCAAACCTCTATTACAGCATATACATTAATGAATGGTGGCTACACTCTAAAACTTTTTCCACTACAATAAACTGCATTAGGTCTTGAGATCAACGACAGCTTGGCTCAACTCCTGCCTCTGATACAATTCACTTGAACATATTTTGATAGAAGTAAGAGTAAACAGCGTCTACAAATAAGTTATTTACTAGTGAAATGCATTACTGGAATGAGCCCAGGTGAATTGTTCCACATCCTGGGACTAAATAAAGTTTATTGCAGTGGGAAGAGTTTCAGAGTATGGCTGTGGTTTAATATTAAGTAAGGTAAGTACTGAGTCAGGTCATGTAAATTAGCCCCTGGACAGAGGCTCAGTGGACTCAAACTGCATCTGCTTAACAACTGTTGAGATAACTTGTCAGCCACACAGGGAGGGCATTTTATTCTGAGTTGTCTGACCCATAGACTGGCATTGTAGGAGGGGCTTTTGTCTACTACAGCATGATGCATTGAAGTACAGATTGAAAGATATGCAATCTTTATACACAAGGCTGATAATTTTCAGATATTTTCCATAGGAGTCAGACACTGGGTTCAAAATTAGCTAATCCCACATTCTATCAAAAGAAGAAGAACTGTTAATTGGTTATAATGATTAATTTATTCAGCTTCGATTTTTCAATGTATATTCTGCTATTTAGTCTCATAGTGTATCAGAGTAAGAAAGATCTAAACTCACACAGGCTGCCTCTTTAGTATTTGTCTTTGTTATCCTATAGTAATTCCTAACTAGCATCTTTCATTTAAGTCGACTTTGCAGCCCCCAAACATTTTTTAAAAGGCTGCTAAAAAAGCGCTGTTAAAAGAGAAAAAAAAAACGTACTTCATACTCACCGCTCTCTTTTAAATGCTCAAGATTCCACGAGAATGTGACTTTTGTTCACACCTGAGTATTTTGTTGCAAGCAGAAAAAAGCCTGTCACTGGAAAAAGTACATGAGCTACTTTTTGGCAGATTATAGCGATTAATATAATCTATAGATGATAGACTTCAATGGGAGTTTTGTGCGACAAAGCGCGCAACAAAATGCTCGGGTAAGAGCAGGGGTCATGAAAATGAATGGGATGCCTTGTCTTGAGCGTTTTGTTGCACTTAGCTTTGAGTGACAAAACGCCTAGGTGTGAATGGGAATTTAGGGTTTAAGTAACAGGAAGGGTTAATTTTACTGGTAAGGTTTAGTGTGACGGGGGCTTAGGGTGATGTTTAGCCCACAGCTTTGTGCCAAAATCTAGCAGCACCAATCTCCTAGCACCAAAAGGTTATAAACTGGCAGAGAAGAGAATCAAGGTCAACTCACAGTGGAGCTTTGATAAGGATTGGAGAGATCTCCCTGTCTGGAACATGCAGAATATCAAAGCTTGCCTCATTGCACCTAATAGTAAAACGTTAGGTTGGGTAGGACTCTTTTTTATTTGTTTCTTTCCCTGCTTATGGCAGAATTGTTATACTTTTGCAGTTCTTTCTCTTGCTCTTGTGTGAATTTTTTTTTTTTTTACAATGTAGCAGTAGTTTTGGGAAATCATGCTTTGTGGATGATTATATAAATGCCTCTGTTTTAGAATACATTGTTAAGGCTTTTTCTGAATCATATGTACTATAAGTTAAAGGAGAACTATGAGGTGAGTGATTTCCACTCATTATCATAGTTAGAGCCGACCTGTGACATTGAAACTGTCACACATCGGCTCTTTCGATCGGGAAGTGAGCGAACTTCCCGATCATCTCCCTGCAGAGAGCGGTGACTGTTAGTCACCGCTACCCGCAGGGATTCCCCCTCTCCGATCCTCCAGCGCTGAGTGGAGGAACAGATGGGGGAGGGGGCAGGCTCAGCTGGCTCTGCCTCTAGATAGGCAGAGCCCACTGTCAATCAGCCAGCTGGGTGGATCTCAACAGTATTGTCGGGATCAGTCCCAGCTGCGGCGCTCTCAGTATATAGCGAGCAATAGAGGGCTATATACTGAGCTTTGGGTCCCCGGAGGAGGTTAGTATATGTCCTCCCGTGACCCTAAAGAGAACTATGGGATAAAAAGTTTACCCCATAGTTCTCTTTTAACATAATTATTTTCTTTACTAATATTCCCTCAATTTTCTTTTCAAATGGATTCTGCTTTATTTGTACTTTTGGATTTGTTGTTTAATGTGTGTCTAATTTAGTGTTATTGTCCTTAAAATAGGCCTAATTTCTTGTGAAGCCCCACTTTACCAGACTGTCTTGGCTTATTGATGCAATGTATGAAATTACAACAAGAGTTATTATTTTATGTGTTCCATCGGTGGGAAGGAGGCAGGGTAAACGTTTGGGTTCTACAATGTTTGTAAAGTATATGGTTACTGCAGCAATGATGACCGAGACCAAAAGATATATACAATAGTTCATTAATAAATATATATATAAAAAGCAATACACTCATGAAAAACACTGAACCTAACCTATGACAAGTGCTTTCTCCGTTTATCATTGTGTGAGTGTGAGAGCAGCCATAATGGAAGAAATCCTCTATCCACTATTGCTGGCCTTAGAGGAGTAAAGCACTACTTGGACAAGTAGAAACTTGTCAAAAAGAATAGCTCTAATGTGATAGCCCAGTAGATCTTCTAGCTGCTACAGACACATTTCAGCATGCCCAACCCTAAATGCCCTGAAACAGGTCAGTAGTCGCCAGAGGCGTAACTAGAACCTTCAGAGCACCGTTGCAAGAAACTATGAAGGGCCCCCCAACTCCCTGCCGCCATGGCACTGTGCGGTTAACAGGATTGCTGCCGAGGTCTTCAGCAAGCGCGGGACCTCAGGCATCCGCTTCAGTTTAAAAATTTAGTGCCGGTGTTCTGTTGAGAACGCTGATTTAGTATCTGCGTTTGCGCACAGACGGGATTAACGAGGAAACTGGCATTTATTTACAAAGTATTTGTAATTGTTAATTGTGACCGTTAATAATATGTGTCCATGGCGGTAAATGATGGATTGGATAGTAATAACGGTCACAATTTAAACTAAATACTTAAATAAATCCCTGTTCCCTTAATATTACTGGTCTGTGCACAAGCGCAGATGCAGAGGTCGGCAAATTCGACTACGTAGGCGTTCTCAACAGAACACCGGTATCTGCATTTAGCATCGGGGCATTTTCACAAGTATGAGTACTCGTGAAAATGCCCAGTTTTGGCACTGGTGCATCCCTACTTAAATGTGTTGCTGGGACTTGTAGTCCTGCATAGTTGGTGCTACTCTGCATTGCTGAAAAATGATTATACAGCAATGCAGAATACCACCAGTTATGCAGGACTTCAAGTCCCAGCAATACATTATAAAAAAAACCCAGCACTGCAGAATACCACCAGCATCCCCTCTGTGCAGGAGAGGGAAGACTTACCTTCCCTTTCCTGCAGGACCTTCTTCCTCGTCTCGGCTGCCAGGGGGGCTGGGCTAAGAGGAGAGGGTCCTCGCACGGCAGAATGTGCTGCCTGGCGGTGCCTGCAGCACATTCTGCGCGACTACTGGCTGTCAGCTTCTCCATCCCCGCCGCACAGCCGCCCGTACATGCTGCGGGTGGCAGAGCAGCGGGGAAGGAGCGGCACGATCTCGGGGGGCCCTCTTCTTGCAATTGCGACTGCTGCGACCCTGGTAGTTCCGCCAGTGGTAGTGGCATTTCTAACACATTAGAGTTGTTGGCCTTGAAATCATTC